CGTCACATCGTGTATCCTAGCTCCTGGCAAGCAGCAGACCTCTGTCTATTATATGCCATAGACATCCCAACCTGTTCCAGGGAGCTTTGCTAGGAACCGTGGGATAGATAGATGCAACACTCCAAAAGCCCTAAAATGTTTGTGAGCACTGCTGCATGTAGACATGCAACCCTTAATTATAGTGGTCACTGTGGCTTCTTCTATATGTCCCAACCACGCATCTAAATTGTGACTTAAGGGTTTGTTCTTATTTTTACCCTCTAGCAACTACTGGACCAGCTTCTTCAAAGAAATACGGAGTGACAAAGGAGACCATTGGATCTTGAATGTCTTTGACTATTAGATAAGACATAAAATTTAGCATTATCTTAATTACCTGGAGACATCTTTCTTACCTTTAACTATCTATGTAAAGGAAGATAATTTGCACTTCAGTAGGATTTGAATGAAACTTCCAAATAACCAAGAGAGAACCTATAAATGAGCAAACTGCTTTAGGACTATCATGTTATAGTTGGTTTACCCAGAGAAAATAATTTTAAGAAACTTTTATGCAAACATTGGATTACAATGGTATTTATTTTCACCTTTTAAATATATATACCGTTTTAGCAATAGAACTGGGTTTTCAAGACATAGGAAACTTATTTTTCCAAAGTATTCTACTCATTGATTTCCTGAGAGTAAAATCCTAGAAAAATGAATACCATTATTTGTTATGTTTAGAAACTAGCTGAAATGGCATTACCACAATCATATGAGCAGCAGTTTTAAATTAATGGTTAATGCACCAAAAGGGACCAATATTTTAGTGCTCTGAAGGAGTTCATTCCTGTTTATGTACTGAACCCAAATAACAGGGTTATCTTGTAGAAAGCAATATTTAGAACCTCAGTAATAATACTTTTTACATGTTCTTCACTATAACATATAATTCTGCTTGCTTCTATAAGCATAAAGTATTTATAGAAATGGCATATTAAGAAGTGGTGCAGACCCATGCAGTGGTTTCCACCAAGAAATACGTGGGTGTAAAGATTACATAATTAAAAACATCTGTAATGTTTCCTCCAACAATATTTAAATCTGTATTTGTACATTTTGGAAGTAAAATCTACCAATTTTCATATCAAATGGAATAAACAAATATAATAATCCAAATGTGACTTTTTTTATATTGTTATTTCAAAGCATTTACAAAATCATGGCTTAGTATTAATAAAGAGGTCTTCATTGTCATAAATTCTACTGTGAGAATAAACTAATAGGATTATTATACATTTATTGGGCAAAATTCTCATCTTAAGTACATCAATGTAAATCAGAAGTAATTCCATTAACCTCAGTAGAGTAAACTGCTGATTTGTATTCATGTGAAGGAGATCAGAATTTGACCCTTAGCTTCCAAACTCCTAATTTGGATTGAGATTTAGGACCAGATTTTTTTAAAAGCATCCTCCCTTTTTTTAAAAAAAAAAAATGGAAATAGCCTATCTCCTAGAGCTGGAAGGGACCTTGAAAGGTCATTGAGTCCAGCCCCTGCCTTCACTAGCAGGACCAAGTACTGATTTTGCCCCAGATCCCTAAGTGGCCCCCTCAAGGATTGAACTCACAACCCTGGGTTTAGCAGGCCACTGCTCAAACCACTGAGCTTTGCAAAAGCATTTATTTGTATAGGCCATTTAGATCTCCTCCAGCCTTGCTCATGTGGAGCAGTAGTAACTTACTTCACAAGCAGTCTCATTGCAATCTATGGAACTAACTGAAGTAAGTTACTACTCATTGCGAGCAAGGGTAAAGGAGTCTGGCCTTCAGTGCACCCACAAGCTTGATCTCCCACTGACTGAAGCCACATAAAATATCTTTCAAACTGTTCTATCCTAGTTCTCTCAGGCCAATCTGTTCAGGGAGTTTCCAAGGGTAAAATCCTAACTTTCATATTGAAGTCAATGGCAAAATTTCCATTAACTTTAATAGGATCAAAATTTCAAACCTAGATTTTTCAACCTTGTGATCATAAAATCTTAAATACACTGCTCTATGATGTGTTGGTTTGACTTTTTGCACACACCCCCATGGAGTTATATTTGCCAATTTTGCAAATTGCTTAAATTTAGTGAATTTTTAAAAACCTCAATTAAAGTTCACTCATCATTTTGTTTTATGAAAGTCTAGATTCCCCAAATGTTTTTATTTTCTCCAAGAGTAATTTCCTAAATCTAAAGGATAAATATGTAGCAGTTTGCAATGAAAATTCTATCAGAGAAATGAGTTTTGGAGCACAGTTAATGAACAAGATGCCGAAGGCAAGTCATTGGCTGGGAACATTTGATATGATATGATATGAAGCCATAGTTTAAGACAACAAAAATAATCTCTGTGGCAGACCTAATTTCTCATTCTAGTCTTGTAAGAACTGAATATCCTACATTATATCCAAACAGTTCTGATACCCATTTCAGTTCTACAGTCAGGTTATTGTAGTAAGTCATAGGCCTTCAGGGAAAAATGCTACTTCTTGATAAAGTTTCAAACCACCTGAAAAAGCCTTATAGGTGTAGAATCTTTGCAACCAACGAATAAGGTTTAGAATTACAGCCAAAGTTTGCACAATTCCATTTTAAATTTACACACACTTTACAATGAAAGAGAAATTTTGCCATTTGATATTATTTAATATGGAAAATTCACAGGCCTGATTCTGATATCAGTAGTTATACATTAGTATAGTTCCACTGACTTAAATAGAATTAACCGGTGCCTAAGTCTGTATGCCCAAATCCTTATAACTTAAGTAAGGACGCTCACATTTTATCGCTGAATATTAGATATTATGATTTGTTCCTTAGTTTTGAATAGGCCAGCCCAATTTCTGTATATAGCTTAATCCATCTTTTTAGTCCTAATATGTGAGTTCCAGCAGAACAATATTGTGCCCTCTGCCAGTAGGCATATAGAAGTCCCTGGTTCACAGTTGGTGCATAGAGTTTTACAGGGATCCGCGGGGTCTGATGTCTACATAATAGTTCACCAAAGGGTGGCATGTGATGTTTCTACCACAAGCCAGAGGTCCACTGGTCATCATAATTATTGCAAGATGTTTGTACAAGAAATAGTTTGAGATATGCAAAATATTACATTCCAAAACTGTTGAAGTAAAGTATGTCACCTAAATTGAGGTAAGCATCAGGGCTAACTCAGTCAGCACTCAGAACAATTGACATCCGTGGAGACAGGCTATGTTTACAGGCTGGGACAGGTGTGGGCCTGAGGATTTACAGAGACAAAGGAACCACAAGGTAAGTCTTTGAAGAGAGGACCTCCTGAGGTAAGAAACAATAGTATGTAACTGCATTAAAAAAAAAAAAAAGAAGAAGAGGGAGGAGAAGATTTTATCCTTCACTGAGGATTAAATAGGGTTGCCAACTTTCTACTCGCACAAAACCGAACACCCTTGCCCCGCTCCTGCCCCGCCCCTTCTCCGAGGCCCTGCTCCCACTCACTCATCTCCCCTCCCTCTGTCACTTGCTCTCCCCACCCTCACTCACTCGCTCATTTTCATTGGGCTGGCTCAGGGGGTTTGGATGCGGGGGTGTGCGGGGGAGGGGGGAGGGCTCCGGGTAGGGGTGCAGCCAGGGATGAAGGATTTGGGGTGTAAGAGGGGGATCTGGGCTGGGGGGTGCAGCTGAGTGGTTTGGAGTATGTGAGGGGGCTGTGGGCTGAGGCAGGGAGTTGGGGTGTGGGAGGGGCTATGGGCTGGGGATGCAGATTCCAGGATGGGGCCAGAAATGAGGGGTTCGGGGTGTAGGAGGGGTCTCTGGGCTGGGGCAGAGGGTTGGGGTGTGGGGAGGAGTGAGGGCTCCAGCTGGGAGTGCAGACTCTGGCATAGGGCTGGTGATGAGGGATTTGGGGTGCAGGAGGGGGCTCTGGGATGGGACTGAGGGGTTTGGAGGGTGAGAGGGTGCTCTGGGCTGAGGCTGAGGGGTTCGGAGGGCAGGAGGGGGATCAGGGCTGAGGCAGGAGGTTGGGCACGGGAGGGGGTAATGGGTGCAGGCTCCGGGCAGCGCTTACCTCAGGAGGCTCCCGGAAGCAGCTGCATGTCCCCACTCTGGCTCCTATGCGGAGGCATGTCCAGGCGGCTCTGTGCTACCCTGTCCACAGGCGCCACCCCCACAGCTCCCATTGGCTGAGCCACAGCCAATGGGAGCAGTGGAGCTGGCGCTTGGGATGGGGGCAGCATGCGGAGCCCCCTGGCTGCCCCTACACGTAGGAGCCGAAGGGGGGACATGCCGCTGCTTCTGGGAGCCTTGCAGAACCACACAGGCAGGTCCTGGTTTGGAAGAACAGAAGCTAATGATGAGTTAATGATGCTAGCCCTTTTGCTAGTCACTTGGGAATGGAAAGGGCATATGAAAGGCTAAAGAAAAATTGATGTTGGCCGAATATTCAAAATGAGGTAAAGGAATACTGCAAGGACTATGACTATGTCTAAAGCAGAAAAAGCATGTAGGTTTCTGCAAGGCTCCTTTGCATTCTTTACTGTTAGTCAATGAAGCATTTATCAGGGTTGCTATGGATATCATAGGCCATTACCCAGGCCAGCCCAAAGGGGAAAAAGATTTATATTAGAGTTGGTGGATTTTGCCAACAGGTATCCAGAAGCAGTTGCTCTGTCAAATATGGAAGCTGAAACAGTTGGTAAGGCACTATTTATTATATTTAGCAGGGTAGATTTTCCAAAGGAGATCTTATCAGATCATAGGTCAAATTTCACATCTCAGCTATTTGGTGAGTTACGGAGGATGTGTGTAGGGGGTTAAACAGCTGAAATCTGCCCCATATCACCCAGAAACAAATGGATTAGTTGAGAGGTTCAATTGGACCCTAACATTTCTGCTAAGAATGCATGCAAGCAAGAGGGAAAGTGACTGGGATGTAATGTTACCCTATCTCTTGTTTGCTTATTGGGAGGTGCTCCAAGAGTCCACCAGTTTTGCCCCATTTGGCGTCCTATATGGGAGAAAGGTCAGAAGTCTTCTGGATTGCTTAAGGGACTCCTGGGAGGGTGGCACTGAAATAGAGGGAAAAGCCATTGTAAACATGATATGCTGTGCAGAGGACTGAGACACAGCCCCTTCTATTGATTTGATGACTGAATGTCATAGTGATTCCCCCTGGAGAGCATGGATTTATATGAAATGTTAACCTGGACTGAAGAGAGAGATTATGGCTGTGCTGAAAAGTCACCCTTAGATATTTTCCAGTAGGCCAGGCACACAAAATGATCCTAAATGGACCATAACATTGCAGGCCTACAGCCTTTGCACCCAGCAAACCATACCAAACAACCAATAAAATGCAGCAGCAAGTTTGTAAGGAAATAGCAAGCATGCTGGAAATGGGAATAATTACAGAGTCAAAACAGTCCCAGAGCTTCTCCAGTAGCTATGGTCCCCAAAAAGGATAGAACCATAAGATTTTGTGTTGCTTAACATTGGCACAGTTTCTGATGCATACCTTATGTCCAGAATCTATTTTGTGCTAGATGCTTTAGGCAGGGCAAAGTTCCTAAGTACCCTGGATTTAATAAAAGGGTATTAGAAATCCCCTTAGACAGTGAAGCACAAAAAAAATAATCCACCTTCATTACTAATTCAAGACTTTGAGTTTAAAGTGTTAACTTTGGAATAATTAATGCAGGAGCCATATTTCAGAGGCTTGTTAATCAAATATTCGTCAGGTTATAGGACTTCGCTCAGGACAACATTGATGATATTGTAATCTTTAGCAATACCTGGCAAGATCAGAAGGAAATGGAGCCAAAGAGACTCAGAAATAGAGTAAGTGTAAAATAGGAGGGAAAACTCCGTAATCTAGGTCACTGGGTAGGAAGAAGCTAGATTTGCCCAGATCCATTAAAAGTAGAACTGGTCTGTACCCCAAACCAAAGTGCAAGCTCAGTCTTTTATAGGGTTGGCTAATTACCACAGGTTTGGGGAAGGTTGCAGCAACATGTTTGCAATTACAGCCCTGTCACCAGCTCCTGCTGTGATCTGCTGCTCCTGACTGGCCCTCCTTAGTTTGCCCATGCTCAAGGCAGTTCTTAGACTCTCACCTCTAACTGAGTCCAGCAGTCTCTGAGCTGTGTATATGGAAGCAGT